CCGGTCCTGCCTCCGTCCCCCCCCACAGCCCCGTCCCCGTCCCCCGCCGGCCCTGACACCGCTCTCTGCCCCCCACAGTACAGCAACTCGGCGGGGATCAACTACGAGACGCTGGGCCCCGAGGAGCTGCGGACGCTGCTCACCACGGTGCGCGGGGCTCGGGAGACGCTGGCGGGCGCAGAGGAGCTCTGTCCCCAGCCGGACGGGACACACGGGGACTGGGACTCCCGGGATCTCTCCTGGCTCAGCTCCCGGTGGCGCTGGCTTCCAGGCTGGGAACGGGGATGTTTGCGATTTGAACCCGGTGACAGGGATGTGCATCTTCCCCAGGGGAAGCCCTGCAGAAAGTCCCGGTCCTGGGTGGCCTGGGGTGGTGGAACTGGTCTGTCTGGGGGGACAGGACAGCGCTGGGCGGTCAGGGTCCCCGGGGCCGTGTGGCTGCTCCTCTGCCTGCTCACCCGTCCCCTCTCTCCCCAGCAATGCGGGGTCATCTCCGAGCACACCAAGAAGATGTGCACCAGGTGAGAGCGCCCTGGGCTTTCCCTGCTCCGTGTGGGGTTCTGGGGGGTCCCCGGGGCACCCGGATCCCCACGGGAGCTGGGGGGGGACACACACAGAGCAAAACGCCTGACTCAGCCCCGTGTCTCCTCTGTCAGGTCTCTGCGCTGTCCCCAGCACACAGATGAGCAGCGGAGATCGGTCCGGGTTTACCTCCTCGGTCCCTCTGCGTAAGTGAGCGCGCGCGCACGCGGGCTCCGAAAGGTCCCGGAGCTGCTGTCCCAACGCAGGGACGGGGACGAGGCTCTGCCTCCCGGTGCGAACGGAGACTGGGGGGGGGCTGCCCGGGGCGCCCAGGTCCTGAGCGAGGGTGGGGACGGGGACGCCTCCGGAGAGGCCTGGAGGGCTGGGATCGGGATGCACAACCCAGCCGGGTCCCGGGGAGCTGGATCGAGGCCCTGGTGTCTCCCTCGCGTCACGGGGTGCAGCACCGTGGGCTCCGTCCCCCCCAGTCCCGGGGGCTGGGGACCCCCGTAACGGCTCTGCCCAGGTCCCTGCCCGAGGCGGAGGGCAGCGTGGAGAACGACAGCTTCGAGGTGGCGGAGAGCCAGGCCATCATGAGCCGGCTGCAGTGGGACGGCTCCTCCGACATCTCGCCCTCTGACTCGGCCTCCTCGAAAGCCAGTGAGTGTTGGGGGGGGACACACACAGATCCTGCAGCACAGACCCCTCTGCGGGGGCAAACCCGGATGTTCTGGCCTCTCCCCAGCACGAGAGGGGACGGACAGACAGACTGTGGCTATCCAAAGCCACCTCGAAGAGTCCCTAGACTCTGGGACATCTTGTCACCCGCCTTCCCGGGGTGGGGGGAACGTTTTGGGGTCCATTTTCCTGGGTTTGGATTGACGATGGGGGGG